AAATCTTAAAACAAGGCTTACCTCCTTACTTTCCTTTTGGTGTGTCTGCTTTTTTATCTCTCCAAGTTGAAACTTAACAGACTCTACATATGCCTACATAAAGTAATACAACACATATCCACACTGGAATATTCACAAACATTTTGGAAATAATGGAAATAATCAACGACTGGATTAAGGACTTGCATACTCCAGACATGTGTAACACACATAAGCTTTAGTGCGGACTAATGAATGGTGCAACAAAGAATGTGATTTTTAAGATATGGAGTTGTACTGTACATCCTCAGTTTCTAGTCTCTTATTAGTAAGCTAGCTACTATACTCAAAACAATTATTCTTGGCCCTCATAAACATGAAGCGATAAAAGTAAAATGCCGCTGAAATTTATAAATATACTTGGTAAATAAAAGTAAGTAAATGAATTAGATCACATTCCATTAAAATGTACAAATTTACATTTAGTTAACAAAATTGGGTGCAGTTTAAAACATAGTTTTTGAGCACAAATGTCCAGTTCAGGCTTTTTAGTTTATAGGCTGTTTATATATTTACTTCCATCTACAATAAATTAGCACAAACTTGTTTTTCAATATGCATCTTGGAGGACACAATTATCTTGATTGTTACTCTAAAACTGACTATATTACAAATGTAAACATGAACAAATTTAAAAGAACATGAAAAGGAATGTAGCACTGTGAATACATTATGCAAGGTTCTCAGTCATGCTACCTAAATGCAAATCAATATTTTGACTAAGGCAGTGCAGAAAATAGCCTGTATGACTAAATGCTGAAGTGTAAATTTCCATAGTAAAAAACACAAATGAAACATTCAAAACATATCATTAGCAGACTGCACAGATTAATAGTCCTGAGTTTGCATGTAAGGTACAAGGAGAGAATACTTCCATCATTACACACACAATGTTAAATACTTTTCAATCTCAAGATTGAGATGTTTTTATATTCTTCTCTTTTTTATGTAATTTTTTGAATTATGCTGTCTCAAAAGTTAATGCATGCCTTACACAACTTATAACAGAAAGCTTAATGCTAAGAAGCTGGGAGTGACAGGACAGTTTCAACACCAGATGAGGATTCAACTTCCCACAACGAAGGGCACAAACATGCCCCTCCTTTAGAGTTAATACCCAGTGTTCTTATCCAGGGTGTAAGTTGATAACACAAAATATTGCCACAATCCATAAAATCATTACTTAAAACATATGTACATATATACATATATGTATATATTACATAACTATATTACATAGTTTTTACGTAATACCCTTATTTGTAACTGCCCTCAATTAGTACACCAGTGCATTTTCATAACAGCCTACAATGCATTGTAATTGGATGCTTGCTGCTCCTTCAAGTTCCTTAAAACCCCTGATAGGACAAGGTCATTCCACAGTAGGGAACTCTCTTGTACACTCAAGATGAAGATAAGTGCTCTCAGATTCCTCATTCTCACAGTTCTGTTCAAACTGGCCCTTGGTGTCCTCCCTGGGCACAATCATTATGTCAGCAGAAAAATGACTTGGTCAGACGCCAGAACATACTGCAGAGAGCACTACACTGATCTGTCTTCAATCAACAATCAGAAAGAAGAAGATGCACTGCTTCAACTTTCTTCTCTTGTTCATTCAGATTCAGAGGAAAAGGATAATGTATCACTTCAACAAGACAGTTGGATTGGCCTCTACAGTGATGACCATGACACTTGGAAGTGGTCAGGAGGAACAAATGCATCTTTCTTCAGCTGGACAAAAGAGAATAATGCAGCTGCAAACACAAAATGTGTTGTATTCAGTCAAGCTGGCTGGCTTAAAAAGAACTGTGAGAACAAATTCAGCTTCTTCTGTTTTCACAACAACATGGTGTTGGTGAAAGAAAACAAAACGTGGGAGGAAGCACTCGATCACTGTCGCAGCCAGAACATGGAACTGGTCAGTTTACTTTCTACGACAGCACTGGATCAAGTCCTGCAAACAAGCAAGGCAGCGGAGACTGACCATGTGTGGATCAGCCTGCGCTACCTAGGTGGCACCTGGCTGTGGGTGGATAGGGCCATTGACGACCAGCAGTCTAGAATCCAACAGGAGCTGCCTCAGTGTCCCACCTGGACTCACCGTTGTGCAGCCTTCTCACTGAGGAAGCGGCGTTTGGACAGCTGGGACTGTGCAGACAGGCTGAACTTTGTCTGCTATTGTAAATGTTTCCATCTGTTGTAGGATAAACTGTCAGTGCAGTGTGATATACATATAATCTATACTACGAAATCAAATTTGAGCTCATATAGATATATCTATGGCTTTACAAACATAAATGGATTATGTTGTTCTAAAATGTAACGTGCATGTAAATTGTGATGACAAAATAGTCATCAAAGTTAGTTTCAATACTTACTAAATTCCATGAAATATAAGTTGATAGTTGTTTGTTCATTGCTGTTTTGAACTTTTTTGTTTATGTGTTGTAACAAAAGACATTCCAGATTTTGGGATAAATAAAGTATATCTTCTCCTGTTATGTTGCCTTACCACAATTGCTTGCTTAGTATTTCCATTTTTTTTATTATCAACAAATTAGAGGAACTGGGAATGGAGGAAGATTATTATAAGTATATCTAAGGCTACTTTGAAAAAGAGCCGTAATAAAGCTCTGGCCACTTTGAATCCTATCTGTATTTATGCTACTGACTTAATTAACCCTGGAGAACCCATGGGGTCAGAGCCGACCCCATTGGTTTACTAGGGAAACCATGGGGTCAAATTTGACCCCATGGTTTCTCCAGGGTTAAATGCTGATAGTACATAAAATAATATAGTAAAAAGTAAAGACAAAATGGGAAAGATTTAAATTCCAGTCCAGCACCAAATGATTAGGCATATCAGTAAGCCAGTAACACTAGCTTATTAATATAAACAAGCACAAAAAAAAAAATTAAACTTCAGCAAAAATTTTCATACTCATTTTGTCAAAGTCACAGAAAGACACATGAGAAAGGCAAATAAGTTGCATGTGGGTCTGGAGCCACACATTTAAGACCTTAAACAAACAAGTAAAATAAACTACTTCTTTGTATTCTTTAAAGTTATTGAACACTCCACCACAAAAACTGATGACTTTAAATGTGCAGTAAAGTGAGAGGACAGTTCCACTAACACAGATAAAATCTTTTATCAAGCTCGAGAGCTCATTTAATATTTTAATGCTTGTAGAATTTTCAACTGGACTCTCTGAATAATTCATGTAAAAGTAACACAATTTTTAATATTGATAGAAAATGCCCCCAAAACAGTTCAATCCCAGATGAGATCAGATTGAGGAAAATGGTATGTGAGAGATAAGTACATATTTCTATCTGTATCTTCATATTCGCATTCAGTATATTAAGACAAAAGAAAATCAGTGACTATTGAAATTTTATGTACAAAGGCAGAAAAATACACAATTTCAGACTCACTACTTGATGTCTTCTCATTATTTGATCTTACTGGGTAACACAGATAGCTGGAAATACTATACGTTCAGCATGAGCTTGGCTCGGCATGCACTGAGCTTTAAAATCACAACCTCGGATAAAAAAAAACAAAAAAATAAACATATGCCATATTATACTATGTAGTTTATCATTTCATTTAAAAAAGAAAAGTCAAATTTCTAAAGTAGTTCATGAAAAAATAAGTACACCTCAAGATTCAACAACTTGTCGAACCACCTTTTGCAACAATAACACTTTACCTTTTCTCCAGGACTTTAACAGTCTTGCACATTGTTGTGTAATGGTCTCACATTTAATCTAGAATACTTTAATATATAGAGGAGTTCGTGGTCAACTGACTGACTGCAAGTTGCCTGGACCTTTAGTATCACTGAGGTATAAAAAATGTTGCCAGGCTATTCATGTTATATAAATTTGACATAAAAATGACATTGTTGCTTTAGTGCTTTAGACTTTAGCCTAGGAAACAACAAAACCCCTTTAACTGAACACTGGTCATAGTTTAATTGCTTTAGACTGACAAATATTTTTTCTGTTTTTATGGTTGCACTAATGCACAGCTGATGTTTTTTTTTAACATATTCAATATTTTTCTGTACTTTCCATCTGCATAGGAGAAAGTTCAATTTTTATTTTAATTAATCCACCTATTCCTTAGCTGAATTTTTATATGCAGTTTTTGTGCAAAAAAAAAAAGTCCAGTGTTAACCTTGCAGTATGCTTACACATTTACTTCCATCTATAATAAATTGCCAAAAACATATTTTATCCCTAATGTTATCGCAGTCAATACAATAGTATTTGACAAAAATGGAATAACTAAAATTCTCCTTTTTCTCCCTGTTATTAAGAAGAAGAAAAAGAATTCTAGTTATTCCATATTGATCAAATTCTTCAAAATAAAGGCAATGTCAAAGAACATTTAAAAGAATAAAGGAGTTTAACAGTGGTCCTGTGATTACATTATGCAGGGTTCTCAGTCATGCTACCTAATGAAATGCAAATCAATATTTTGACTAAGGCAGTGCAGAAAGCAGCCTGCACGACTAAATGCTGTAGTGTAAATTTTCATAGTTAAAAGCACAAATGAAAAATTCAAAACATATCATTAGCAGACTGCATGGATTAATAGTCCTGAGTTTGCATGTGAATTACACGGAGGGCAACACAAAACACACTATTTTGAATCATTTTCAGTCTCACCAGTTTTTTTCTGTTAAAATTGAATGTTTTTTATTTATCTAACACGTTTATGTTTTCTGAAAAGTTAAGGGAAGGCCAACAGAGTTTTAGAAACCTGATGTCTGCAAAACAGCTTAATGCTGAGAAGTTAACCCTGGTTGATAGGCTAGTATCAACACCACATTCGAATCCAAGAAGCAAAATCTGCGTATTAAAAAACAAACAAACAAACAAAAACTTCTGAGCAACTAATTAACGCCATAATTTCCCACAGAGAGGGCAGAATGATACCATTTTTTTTCTATTATCAGTCCTGAATGAGTAGCACAGATGACTGGGAAAATTTTAAACAAAGTCAAACTCCTTATAATCATTAGTTAATACTTTCCATGCAGCCTTATTTGTGAATGCCATCAATTAATTTCAGTACACCTGTGCATTTTCATACCAGGCTAAAATGAACTCTGATTGGATGCTTGCTGCTTCTTCAAGTTCCTTAAAGTCCCCAACAGAGTTAAGTCATTCCACAGTAAGAAACTAACATCCACTCAACATGAAGATAAGTACTCTCAGATTGCTTATTCTTATGGGTCTCTTCAAGATGACCCTCTGCACCTACTTTGGTATTCATTATTATGTCAAAGATCGAAGGACTTGGTCTGACGCCAGAAAATACTGCAGAGATAAATATACTGATCTGTCATCAATCGGTAACCAGTATGAAGAGGAATTATTCATCAGTTACATTTCCTCTTCGGAATCGGTACAAAAAGGTACCTGGATTGGTCTCTACCAGGATGACAGTGATAACTGGAAGTGGTCAGGGGGGACAAATGCATCTTTCTTCAACTGGGATCCACAGGACCCTATAGATCCTAATAACAGATGTGTTGTAGAAAGCCAAGCTGGCTGGCATAAAAAGAATTGTGAGGACAAGTTCTTCTTCTTCTGCTTTCAGAGCCACCTGGTCCTGGTGAAAGAAAACAAGACGTGGGAGGAAGCACTCGAGCACTGTCGTATAAAGGGCATGGAACTGTTCAGCTTGCGCTCATATTCTGATCTGATTCAAGTCATGGCGACAAGCAGAACAGCCGAAACCAACAACATGTGGACCAGCCTCCGCTTCCTAGCTGGCAACTGGCTTTGGGTGGATCGTATCCTTGCTGAGCACCAGGCCAAGAACCAAACCCAGATGCCTCAGTGTCCCACCTGGACTCACCGCTGTGGGGCCCTCTCACTGGATGAGCAGCACTTGGTCAGCTGGGACTGTGCAGACAGACTCAACTTTGTCTGCTACAATGGAGCTTGAATCTTTGCAAAAATGTAATGCTGTAGTTTGCTACACATATAATCTTCATTATAAAATCCATATTTACATTGATAACGATATATTCAAGTCTTTGCAAAAAAGATAAATAGCAATCATTATTGTGAAGTGTTTTTGATTCAACTGTAATGCACATATAGAATCTAGAATTTCCCTTATATAAAATTAAATAGTTAACTGCCTTTATTCTAGGACCTTCCATTGTTTTCTTTCCTCATCATGTTAATTACTTCCAAAAAAGATTGTTATGTTCAAATACATAATAAACACTCTTAAAAGACACTGTATGTTTTTTGTGACGAATTTAACAAAACGCTAGACATGACATGTTACCTTCTGCTCATTTCTTGGTCTGTGGTACCCTGAAGATGGTATACTTGGTATTTCAGATGAGAGAAAATCCACCGATAGTCTAGCTCATGAGCTTTTTTTAATGTATTTCAATCAACACTGATTGAATAATTTCTGATATATTCTCATTTCACTTGAGTTAGTTTTGCACATACACTAGATTTTAGTTGATATTTCAGTGCTTTCTTATTTTTAGTTTGGTTTACTAAAAGTTTAAATGCAGTTTTAGTTAACAAGTGACCTGACAGTGTCCAGATACACTGGAGAGCGGGCTTGCATGTGTGAAAAGCCTGACTTCATATGTGTTTTAATGTGCAGCCACAGCAAATTAACCACTGCTGTCATTCTGATGTGACCTTTATCAGCCCTTGTTGTTACATGCTGACAGCCCTTACATGCCTACTGTAATGGTTCACTTACCCAGCCTGCCGGGCTTCACTCCTCCATTGTCTGTGCTGCTGCTGTAAAGCCGTGAGGGTGGAAAGGTTAGTGGAGTGTTGGCTGGCAGCAGATCAGCAATGACTCTAAAGAAGACCACATCAGTCCATCATTGCACATATCAAAACATGTTAAATGTCAGTGTTTTTACGCTTACTTAAAATCTCTCATTCTAGCTCGCAGTCAAACCCAAAGTTTATATCCTGTTTGATTTAGTTTAATTTAGTTTAGATTTAAAGAAGCTACAATAAATTAGTTTGTGCTTGATGTCTTTGTAATTTAATGTGACAGTTGTCCTATAAACATAACACAATGTGCAAAACCAACCTATATTTTCCACTCTGTGGATGACCTAACAAGGGATGAGAATCCAGGACCAGTAGTCCCTTTGGTGTGCCAAAGTGTTCAACCTGTTCCACTATATTGAAGAAAATGTGCAATAATTGCAAAGAAGGAATATATAAGTTTGTATGTAGGTGTGTACTTATTTTGTGTTGAGAGTTGGTAAGAATAGTGACATCAATAGAGTGACTGTAAGAACTGCCAACT